CTAGCCACAAATTGATTGCAATATGTAAAGCTGTCCAGTTGTGATTTCCCCAGATTCAGAGTTCACAAGCATTCAATATGGCATCAAAAAATCGTCATGAAATATTAAGAGACATTAAGCAAAGGTCCACGGAAAAACTGAATGAAAACTTGTAGCTGATCAGTTTATTCAAGCTGGAAATGGATGTGCTGCAATGGGTTAGTTTCTTACCTTTTCCAGCTACAAAGGAGCCTTTGATTAAACATTTTCCCTTTCTAAAAACCAGGCCTTTGGGCGGGGGTGGGAGGGGGGGGCGCCCGATGTTGGTTCAAGACAGGGTCTCACTATGTAACCCTGGCTGTCCTGGAATCGACTCTGTAGACTAGACAGGTCTTGAACTCACAGAGATCCGCCTGCCTCTACCTCCCAAGTGTTGGGATTAAAGGTATGTGACACCACTGCCCAGCTGGGTCATTTTTTTTTTGAATGTTCAAATTAAGTAAGCTAGGCAAAAAGAAAAATAATTAATATGGAATCTGACATGTATCAATAAAATCCTTAACTATGAAGGCAGTTTTTTACAAAATAGTTAGAGGCAGCCAGGCGGTGCTCACGCCTTTAATCCCAGCACTGAGGAGGCAGAGGCAAGTGGATCTCTGAGTTTGAGGCCAGCCTGGGCTACAGGGCGAGATCCAGGACAGGCACCAAAGGTACACAGAGAAACCCTGTCCCAACCCCCCTGCCGCTCCCCAAAGACAAAGTGGTTGGAGGCAAGCGAGCATCAGCATACACTTTAGTTCTGTTCCTTTAGATTAGCAGGGTTGGCGCACAGTTGAAGTGGTGGGCGTGGGCACATCCAGAGCTCTAGGAAGTTTGGTCTCACTTCTTGTCAGGTTCATAGAAGAAAGTGCTTTTGCTTTCCAGACATGCTGAGACAGTCTGTGAAGCTGCAGAGGACAGCTCAGTGGGACAGACTCTTAGCAACCTGTTTTTAAGTTTTTGTTGTATTTATTTCATAGAAAGTGGTGAAGATTGTCCACTTGTTCTTGGTCAGGTGTGTGTACCCTGGAGCCGCCCTTCTACATTGTGACGGAATACATGCCCTATGGGAACCTGCTTGACTATCTCCGGGAGTGCAACCGCGAGGAGGTGACGGCCGTTGTTCTGCTCTACATGGCCACTCAGATCTCTTCCGCCATGGAGTACCTGGAGAAGAAGAATTTCATCCATAGGTGTGTAACCCTGACCACTGCGTGTGACTAACCACAAAGCTGTCTTGCTTGACAGGAATGTGAAGGTGATAATTGCCAGAGCATTTCACAGGGAGAAAATCTTTCTCTGTTGCAGTCTCTGTTACAGAAAGCCTGGTTGCCTACCACTACATCTAGGATCCTTTTGCTCCATCTAGTGGCCACAGTTTTGAAGTATGATTCTGTCCTAGGAAAGTGTGTTAAAGCCTTCAGGGAGGGGTCTGTTGCTCCCCCCTTCAAATGTATCCCATCATACTTATAAAGGAATTCATTTTGTCCAACGTTTGTCTTCTGCCTCCTTGTGGTTACTCAGTGAGTGGCAGAAATTAGCAAGTTTCCATGTTGGTGATTATCATAAAGTAGTACAGTGTTAGTTAGCATTTCCTTATCAACTGGCTGTAGCACAAAGAACCAAGACTAGAGTGTTCAGACCCGTATCAGCTGGAATAATGTGGGGTTCTCTTTCCCATAGAGATCTTGCTGCACGGAACTGCCTAGTAGGAGAAAACCACGTGGTAAAAGTGGCTGACTTTGGTTTAAGTAGACTGATGACTGGCGATACCTACACTGCTCACGCTGGAGCCAAATTTCCTATTAAATGGACAGCGCCTGAGAGTCTGGCTTACAATACCTTTTCAATTAAATCTGACGTCTGGGGTAAGATTGATGCAACTTCTTACATGCGTTTTATTTATTTATTTAACATTAGCTATGGCCGGCCTGGTATTCACTATATAGCCTAGTCTAAAACTTGGGGCAGTTCTTCAGCCTCTGTCTCCTGAGTGAGGACCATAGGCATGAACCACCATGCCCAGCTAATTTCCTTAGTTCATCAGAGCTTTTATGATGTTCAGATAAAAAAGTACTTTGAGAGGGTGGTGGAAACAGCTGGGGAGGAATAAACACCTGTAATACCATCACTCAGGAATCTGAGATAGGAGGCCTGGGAGTTTGGAGTGAGGCCAGCCTGAGTTACTTATTAGCATGTTGAAGGCCAGCTTGAGTTACATAGGGCTGGGGTGTAGTTTAATGGTAGAGTACTTGTCTGGCTACTACATTGTCTGCCATTCCCCAGCATAGGGTTGGGAGCAGAGACAATGGGAACACTGTAAGGGTTACAGTTAGAGCATGGTAGCAGATGCCTGTACTTCAGCATTCTGGATGCTCAGATGCTCAGATCCTTGAGTCCTACCTGCAATATGGCGAGACTCTGTGTGAACAACAAAGTAGCTTGGCATGGCAGTGTAGGCTCTGATCTCAGCACTCAGGAGACTGAAGGAGTAGGAGCACCTAGTGGAGCATAGGCCAGACTGGGCTATAGAGTAACTTCTTGGCCAGCCTGGACTATGTAAGAGCCTGTCTGGGGTGAGGGGTAGGGCGCTTGAAAGAGGGTCCAGTCCAGACCCCATCCTGCACTGGAGTTGTGATAGTCTTTCCTCTCTGAAGCTTCCTGCTCTTCGTGGGAGGTTTGGCTCATTTATGGAATTCTGTCATGGGGAACACTCTGGGTAACAAAGGTCTGATAATGCTTCATTGAGAATTTGTCCTTGTCCTGGATCTAATTTCTACTGCCCCGAGAAGTAGAATGACTATCTAGAGAGACTCAGTAGACCAAATTAGTATAGAAATTTGGAGTTGGGGCCAATAGAAATTATTTTTTAATCTCTTTACACAGCTTTTGGAGTACTGTTGTGGGAAATTGCTACGTATGGGATGTCGCCATATCCGGGTATTGACCTATCTCAAGTCTATGACCTGCTGGAAAAAGGATATCGAATGGAACAGCCTGAGGGATGCCCCCCTAAAGTGTATGAACTTATGAGAGCATGTAAGTGTTTTGCATATTTGTGCTTTGAAAGAGAACCAGCAGCAGGATGGTTAATGAAATCTGCACCATTTCTGCTCTCAGCCTTAGACTGGATCTGGTCTCATTAACAGTTAGAGAGCCTGTCATCGACAGGGCCAGTTGGCACAGTGCATGATGTACCATTGAGTCTCATTGGAATCCTAAGAATAGTTGTCTGTGACCCAAATATAGAGCCAGTTTCTGAAGAAACATTTGTATATTTAATAGACAATGAGAAACTGAGTTGCATAATAAGTTATGAGGATTGGCTGCTCTCAGCTAGATGTGAATGGTTACTAAAGACTGTGATTGTTCAAGTAACCTCAAATGGTCTGGGAGGTGGCTCAGTGTGTAAGAGCACTTGCTCTGTAAGCATGGGGACTTGAGTTGAAATCCCTAGTAACTGTGTAAAAAGCCTGGCTCAGCTGCACATGCCTGTAACCCAGCATCAGGGATCTCCGAGGTCCAGGAGCTCACTGGCCAGCCAGCATACTTAGCTGAAGCAGAAAGCTTCTGGTTCAGTGAGAGGCCCCATGTCAAGGCAGTAAAGCATAGAACAGTGGAGAAAGACGTCCTGTGTTTTCTGTGGCTTCCACATGCCTTACATGTGTACATCTAAGTGCACACTCCCATGCATTTACTACACACAAAAAAGCCAAAAAGTAATCTCTTATGAATGTGAACAAAACATCAGACTCCTGCTGAGGATGCACACTCAGGAATATGTGTAGTAATAAAAATGTGCTTGTGTTCACACATTACCGTATCATTATTTTTTACTGTATTATTTTCTCATTGAGCATTTGTGTCTCATGCTACCCTTTACCAAGTGTATACTCCATAATCTTCCTGATAGCTTGTTAAACTTCTGAATTTATACACTTAATATTTAGGGACCTGGGTGTGTTTTGTTGTTGTTTGTTTGGTTGGTTCTAAAGACAGTGTGTCACCATGAAGCCCCAGCTGACCTGGAACTCACTGTGTCCAGCAGACTGGCCTTGATCTCATAGAGATCTGCCTGCCTCTCCCTCCTCAATGTTGGGATTAAAGGTATGTGCTACCATGTGTAGCCAGTTATTTTTTAAATTACACTGATTTATTTATGGGGCTTGAGTGTGTGTACTGCAGCATTGGTGTGGGAGCCGAGAGAATTTGTATAAGGAAGTTCTCTCATTGCACCACGTGGAAGCCAGGGATTGGACGCAGGTTGTCAGGCTTGGTGGGGAACTTTTACCACTGGTCTGTCTTACCAGCCCCCCAGCTCACTTCTCTAATAGAGGGAAATTTGCCATTTTCTAAGCATGCTCCCCAACTTTTCTTCATTTTTGTAGTAGTGGGAATGGAGCCAAAGCTAAATAGGACCAGCACAAGAAGTGGGTACTCACACCTCAGGGCTGGCCCAGGAGTTGGCCACACGTCCCACGTTCCTGTGCACACGCCGCACTCTGATAGGCACACGCCGTGGTGCGTGGACCCCATTACTGGTGTGCTGCGTGGACCCCATCACTGGTGTGCTGCGGGGCATGACTGTCAGGAGGCTGTAAGTTCTCTTCTGCTGCAGGCTGGAAGTGGAGCCCTGCTGACAGGCCATCTTTTGCTGAAACCCATCAAGCTTTTGAAACAATGTTTCATGACTCCAGCATCTCGGAAGGTAAGTCTTCCAGCAGGAGGTGACTGCTGGTGGCCAGTTGCAGGGCAGTGATGGTCATTTCAAAAATGGGCAGCTCCTGCAGTTTTTAAGTGTTGAAAGTTGACTTTTGACCTTTTTTTTTCTTGTGTTACTGCTTTTTTTTATACTTTTTTAGTTCTGTGTTTTTCTTTTTTTCCCTTTCTTTCTTTTACTTGTTTTTTTGAGACAGGGTTTCAGTGTATATCCCCGGCTCTCACTCTGTAGACCAGACTGACCTCGAACTCACAGAGATCTGCCTGCCTCTCTGCCTCCCGAGTACTGGGATTAAAGGTATGCGGCATCACCACCCTGGAGTTTGAGGTTTTCTATATCATATTTCATATTGAAAATTACATTTTGATTTGAAATTTACTCGGTTTTTACAAAGAAAATCAGTAACTTCAGTAGTTCTTAACACAATACAAAGAAGATTTTAAAAATAAGTGTGAAAATATTCTAGGGGCTGGAAAAACAGCTCAGCAGTCAGGACACTTAGTGCTCTTGCAGAGGGCCAGAACCAGAACTTACTTCTCAGCACCAACTTTGGGTGACTCACAAATACCTGTAATTCTTGGCTCTAGATCAGTGGTTCTCAGCCTATGGGTTGTGACCCCATGGGTTGTTGAACGACCCTTTCACAGGGGTCACATGTCAGATACTAAAGGGTCATGGCATTAGGAAGGTTGAGAACCATTGCTCTAGAGGCTCCAGTGCCCTCTCCTGGTCTCTGTGTGCACTTGCACTCATGTATGTATACCCACACATATGTACGTAATTAAAAATAAATCTTTAAAAACAAATAGATTCTAGGCCGGGCGGTGGTGGCGCACACCTTTAGTCCCAGCACTCGAGAAGCAAAGCCAGGCGGATCTCTGTGAGTTCGAGGCCAGCCTGGGCTACAGAGAGAGTTCCAGGACAGGCACCAAAACTACACAGAGAAACCCTGTCTCGAAAAACGAAATAAATAAACAAACAAACAAGCAAATAAATAAATAAATTCTAATTCTAAACCACATCTAAGGCAAGGCCTAGATCTCCCCCATCAATATCATGAAATTTCATTTCTAGAAATAGAGTATAACCAAGATTTCTATAGACAGATGTGGCATCTGAGTATAGTTTATAATACTGAAAAACGTAGGAACAACCTAAGCATCTAGTGGGCTGTTGATTGTATAACCACTTAACTGAATACTTAACTTATATTCTTAAATATATTAAGCTATCAATAGAGATAAGCTTGTCCTTACTCAAGAAATGGGTATATGGACACATACAGGAAGTATATGGACACATGCAGGAAGTTGCTTGATTTTGTACGTAGTACTCATACCTAAGGAAGTCAAGCAATAAGCAGTGTGGTGGCACACCAGTTCTTTCAGCACTCAAGAGGCTGAGGCTGAAAGATCTCAAGTTCAAGGTTAGCCTGAGCTATATCATGAGACTAGTAAAGTTAGTAACCAGCTTTCTTGTGCTCTGGAGTAAGAGCCTGTTCTTGGAGAGCTAAGAATACAGAAGTCTTAGTTTCACCTGTCTATTAGACACTGTGATACAGTTCTGAAGTTTGTACAAACTTTTTCTCCCTCTATCATTGCACAGAATTGATCTTGTAATTTAAGTTTTCAAATGTTAGAAAAAATTAAGAGTTGAATTTTGTCTTCCTCTAGTGATTAATCACATGAGGTAAGAAGAAAAGGTAAACAGAGTACAGCATCAACATTTCAATATAAATATCTTCCTCCTCCTTCCCTGAGTTGTCCATAACACACACATACACACACACACACACACACACACACACACACACACACACACACACACATCAAATAAATGTAATAAAAATTCTTTGAGTGGTAACATTTTTACAATTTAATTGATTGTGTTTCGTTTTTGTTTAGGAGTAAAGAGTGTACTTTTGCCTTAGTAAAAGCCACAAAGCTCAGCTGGGCAATGGTGGTGCACGCCTTTAAACCCAGCAACATGGGAGGCAGAGGCAAGTGGGTCTCCTGGAGTTCCAGGTCAGCCAGGGCTACATAGTGAGACTGTTTCAAAAACAAAACAAAACACATTTTGGGGTTGGAGAGGTGGCTCAGAGGTTAAGAGCACTGGCTGTTTTTCCAGAGGGCCTGAGTTCAATTCCCAGCACCCACATGGTGGCTCACAAACGTCTATAATAGATCTGGTGCCCTCTTCTGGCCTGCAGGCAGAATACTATATACATAATAAATAAATCTTTTTAAAAAGTCACAAAACTCATGACTTGGTTAAATCAGCCAAGGGTGACCGATAGAGTAAACACTATTTTGTAATCAGGTTTTGTTTGGGGGAGGGTTGTTTTTGTTTATTAGTTTTTTTGTTTTTTAATATAGGTACTTGGGGCACGAACCCAAGGTTTTCATGCATGTTAGACAGATATTCTACCACCCGAGTGACACCCCCAGCTCAAAAGAATCAGGCTTTTGTTTTTCCTATCACAATTGGTTAGTTGGTGTGTGTGTGTGTGTGTGTGTGTGTGTGTGTGTGTGTGTGTGTGTGTGTGTGAGAGAGAGAGAGAGAGAGAGAATTGATTTGTTTTACTTGCATGAAATGGAATAAATTATATTACTCTCCTTTACAGTGAAAACTGCAACCTAAAAATAGAAATCTCTCCAGACATGCATCTCCTTTATTCAGCATCCGAACAGCACTTAGTAAGGGAGGCTCTCCCAATGCCCATTGAGCCCAGTAAGCATGTGAAGCTATGAGCAACGTCACTTGCCAGCAGGAAATAACAGATTAAACCATGAGATTCCCATGGCATGCCTACCAGAATGAGCAAAATCAAGTTACATACACTACAGAGTAACAGCATCCAGTTTTTGCAGGCATGCTGAGTAGGTAGCCAGAACATTTACACACTGGCAGTGTGGGTGTAAACTGTTATGGCTGTTATATTGTTCAGAACCTGATATAAGATCAGTGAATGTGTACCCCATGACCTATCCATTCACATCAATTAGATGTACATGGCCTTGTGAACCAACAAGCTTGTATCAACATATTCATAGTAGCTAAGATTGGAAACATCCTAAAGAACCATCATTAGGAGGACAAATGAATTTTGGTAGTATCACACATCAGAATACTACTATACAATGAGGAAGAGATCCCACCACATGCAGTAACATGTAAATCTGTAGGAATAATGCTGAGTAAAAGAAATTGCACGTGAGAGTATACATGGGGCGGGCAGTAGCTCAGTTAGTAAAGTGTTTGGCATTCAGGTCAGAGGACCTGACTTCAGATCCCCAGCACCCACATGCAGAACTGGGCGTGACAGCACACCCCTGGGAGATGGAAATCAGAAGATCACTGGCTTGCTTGCCAGTCGGTCTAGCTAAAACAGTGAGCACTAGGCTGAGGAGAGACCCTGTCTCAAAGAGTAAGGTAGAAAGCAGTTGAGGAAGCACCTGGCATTGGCCTCTGTCCTCCACAAATATAAGCTCCTGTGCACACGTAAGATTATATACTCTGACTTCATTTCTATGCTTTGTATAATTTATTTTTGTTATTTTCAAGATAACATCTTTGCTCAGGCTAGTCTCATATTTCTGTGCTGAATGGATCCCCAGCCTCAGCCTTCTGAGCATCTGGGCCTATAGCACAGACTGTTCACCCAGCTGCATTTATGAACTTCAGTATTCTGTTCTCCTTTTTTCCTTTTTCAGTTGTATGCCTTGTTCTCTGTCTTAGGAGTGTCTTTTTGACCAGACCTTGTCTTTCTTACAGAGGTGGCTGAGGAGCTTGGGAGAGCTGCCTCCTCGTCATCTGTGGTTCCATACCTGCCTCGATTACCTCTACTTCCTTCCAAGACTCGGACCCTGAAGAAGCAGGGGGAAAACAAAGAGAATGTAGATGGGGGTCTTGATGCCTCCGAGATCCTGGCATCCAGCTCAGCACCAGGTACGAGGGGTCAGAGCAGGAAGCGTATGTCTGAAGAACCAGTGTGTGATGCTTCTGGGCCTTGGCCCTGCCCTGGCAGTATGGGCAGAGCTGTCCATGCTGTAGAGAGCCTGCTTACCAGTTCTGTTTTCTCAGCCCCTGGCTCCCAGATAGTTACCCAGATGAGCGATGACAGGTGCATCTGGGTTGTAGAGAAGGGTGCACGCAGAACCAAGAGCGAGTGTCACCATTACTGTCCACATCCCAACTGGACACTAGTCACTGAAGCAGTGGTGTAGTTGTTAATGTCCTACGTAAGGCCAACATCTGATGTGTAATAAACGCAGACAGAACTTTTCTAATTTAGTCATGCTCATTGGCTCACCTTTTGTCTTTCCTGTTATTGATTGGCCATTTCTCAGCAGGGTTCATTAGAAGTGCACAAGCCTCCAGTGGGTCCCCAGCTCTGCCTCGAAAGCAAAGAGATAAGTCACCTAGCAGCCTCTTAGAAGATGCCAAAGAGACATGCTTCACCAGGGATAGGAAGGGAGGCTTCTTCAGCTCCTTCATGAAAAAGAGAAATGCCCCCACACCCCCTAAGCGCAGCAGCTCCTTTCGTGAAATGGAGAACCAGCCCCACAAGAAATATGAACTCACGGGTAACTTCTCATCTGTTGCTTCTCTACAGCATGCTGATGGGTTCTCTTTCACTCCCGGCCAGCAAGAGTCGAATCTGGTGCCAGCCAAGTGCTATGGGGGGAGCTTTGCCCAGAGGAGCCTCTGTACTGATGACAGTGGTGGGGGTGGGGGCAGTGGCACTGCTGGGGGTGGGTGGTCTGGCATCACAGGCTTCTTTACACCCCGCTTAATCAAAAAGACACTGGGCTTACGAGCAGGTAAACCCACAGCCAGTGATGACACTTCCAAGCCTTTTCCAAGGTCAAACTCTACATCTTCCATGTCCTCAGGGCTTCCAGAGCAGGATAGGATGGCAATGACCCTTCCCAGGAACTGCCAGAGGTCCAAACTCCAGCTGGAAAGGACAGTGTCCACCTCTTCTCAGCCAGAAGAGAATGTGGACAGGGCTAATGACATGCTTCCAAAAAAATCTGAGGAAGGTGCTGCTCCAGCCAGGGAGAGACCAAAAGCCAAACTATTGCCCAGAGGAGCCACAGCTCTTCCCCTGAGAGCCCCTGATCCAGCCATCCCAGAGAGTGACTCTCCAGGGGGAGGGGTGGCTGGAGTGGCAGCTGCCCCCAAAGGCAAGGAAAGGAATGGTGGGGCGCGACTTGGAGTCGCTGGAGTCCCAGAGGATGGAGAGCAGCCAGGCTGGTCCTCTCCAGCCAAGGCCATAGCTGTCCTCCCAACTACCCACAACCACAAAGTGCCAGTCCTTATCTCACCCACTCTGAAACACACTCCAGCTGATGTGCAGCTCATTGGCACAGACTCTCAGGGGAATAAATTCAAGCTCTTATCTGAGCATCAGGTCACATCCTCTGGAGACAAGGACCGACCCCGACGGGTAAAACCAAAGTGTGCCCCACCCCCACCACCAGTGATGAGACTACTGCAGCATCCATCCACCTGCTCAGACCCCGAGGAAGAGCCGACTGCCCCGCCTGCAGGACAGCCCACTCCAGAAACCCAAGAGGGAGGAAAAAAGGCAGCTCCAGGGCCAGTGCCCAGTAGTGGGAAACCTGGGAGGCCAGTGATGCCTCCACCTCAAGTGCCTTTGCCCACATCTTCCATCTCGCCAGCCAAAATGGCCAATGGCACAGCAGGTACTAAGGTGGCCCTGAGAAAAACCAAACAGGCAGCTGAGAAAATCTCAGCTGACAAAATCAGCAAAGAGGCCCTGCTGGAGTGTGCCGACCTACTGTCCAGTGCAATCACGGAACCTGTGCCCAATAGCCAACTGGTAGACACTGGGCACCAGCTGCTTGACTACTGCTCAGGGTACGTGGACTGCATCCCTCAGACTCGAAACAAATTTGCCTTCCGAGAGGCTGTGAGCAAACTGGAACTTAGCCTACAGGAGCTGCAGGTGTCGTCTACAGCTGCTGGTGTGCCTGGGACAAACCCTGTCCTTAATAACTTATTGTCGTGTGTACAGGAAATTAGTGATGTGGTGCAGAGGTAGCCATTGTCAGCCTAGTGGGAAATGCACACATATCTGAGGGGAGAGGGAAAGGGACTCGTTTTCCTGTGTTCTTGTTTTTAAAAAGTGAAAGACTAATACTTGAGTGTGTTTATGTGAAGTACCTCAGATCCCTGAATTCTCACGTTTACAGGTTCATCTCAAAATAGCAAAAAAGGAAATCACATAAGTAGATAAGTCCATCTGGTGGAGCCGGGCGGCGTGGACAGAGTGGGAACTGCACTGGGAAGTAAGGGAGCATCATGTATATGTCCTCAAGTGCAGCCCTTCCCTGGCTGGACTAGCCTGTGGTGTCCTTTGGGCTGTCTCAGTTGTTCTGTCGATGAAACGGGCCTTGACCTGGCAGGTCCTGGGGGTGATTGTGCTTCAGTTCACCACTCAAATTCGAGGAGCAGGAAGAAGCAGAGTGAGGGATATAGCAGGTGTCTTACTCAAGGCTGTTGGAAGCGGCTGTTGGCCTTGCTTCCATGGGTCATTGCTGCTGTAGCAAGAACTGCAAATTTGATTGCTAGAATACTAAGCTGGGAAACGTGGCCCTTTCCATCTGCTTTTGTCCTGTTTACCATGGGTGCATTAGTCGGTGCAGGAAGTACAGAATTCGAGGGACATTTAGTCAGACTGACACCTCTAAAACTCTTAGGGTAATTAGCAGTCACCCCTCCCACTCTTCTAGTATGTTACTTTCTAATGGACCAGTATCCACTTGCTGCTTCTTGGTGGCTCTCTGTAAACCATGGGCATAGGGGGGCTTCTTAATGGTTCTTCTCTGTCCCTTACTGGGCAGGCTGTCTTCCTTTATTTCTGGCAGCATTCAGGGCATTACCCAGCGTCAATGTTGAAAATAGTGGTCACTACAGCTTCTCATAGGGGAGACCCTCTGCCCCTGAATACTGACCGGATGGCCACTTGAGCAGCTATGTATACTCCTTTTTTCATTAAATACCAAGGAGATGCAGTACCTTTTTGGAACTGGCTGGGCCCAGAGGCCTGAGACTGAGAAGAGAAGCTTGCTTGACCCACAGGGCTACTTGCACCTTCCCCTTCCCTTGATCCCCACACTAATCTGGGTGGACAGTGGTCTGAGAAGGCGTTTCACTAAGGGCTTGCCTCCACAGTATTCTCACCTCCTTTTCCTCTGCTCACGGAACACGCCACCCTCTTGTCGAACTTGGAGTCTGTGCTGGGAATATATATGTGTTGGGTTATTTATTTTGGTCTTTCACCTCTATTTTAAGAGTGCATTATAGAAGGAGTGGGTTATTTTCAGGGAGCACCAATTAGACTAAAAAACCTAATAAGGCTTTAACCTGCAAATAGGTTTTGCCTTTGAAAAATAGGCATTTCCCTTCCCTACCTACAGTTATGAAAGCTAATAGGGTGACATGGAATAGAAACTTAATAGGATACAAATTGTTGATGTTTTTGGTACTGGGTCTAATTTTAGTTTGTTGTTTTTTTTTTGTTGTTGTTGTTGTTTTTTAACTTTATGAACACCCCTTTTATTCCCCGAAGAGAATCTAATACAAAACATCTTGATTTTTTTTCTTCTTCCAAAAGAGTATTATTTAGGAAGATGGGCATTCAGCACTGAGCCATGTTTTCTTCCTGACTGTCATCGATCCACTGTCAAGTAGCCACCCCATCTTTTGATCTATTAATTGAAGGCAATAGCCCTCATTCTCAAGAGTGTTTTGCAGACTAATATGCAGCTCCCTTTGAGAGCCTCTCTGGAGAGCTCTTTACTTAGTGTTGCTACATTGGGTCGCTTCTCATTCTCTCTGCTGAATCACAACTAGGAAACTTTAGAACTGCTGTGCTTACAGTAATGGGGCCAGAATCCTAAGGGGAAGCTAGTTCAGCTTGCATTTGGCATCCTTGACCAAGGAAGAGGTTTAGTTTTCATTAGAAAGAAAGGCAATTTGGATACTTAGCACTGCTGCTCAAAGAAGGCTCAGGGTAAGAGGAGGTTTGGAGTGGAGGAGAAGGCTCCTCCTGCAGGTGTGAGTGTTCCCAGCTGCCATCTGGGTCTGCACAGCAGGGATCAGGTCAAAGGCCTCACAGTAGCTGGAAGCGAATTTCCCTTCTCCTCCTCCTCCTCCTCCTCCACCACCACTCCCCACCATCCTGTGCTCCCTTAAACTTGAATCTCTTTAGCAGTTAGCCTTGTACAGGTAGGGAGGAGAAAGCTAAAATTGGAGGCCATTATTAATGCTACTTTTAAAGTCTACCCTGCCATAATGGGATGTCATAAGAGATGATTGTTGTTTTCAGGTTTGGGTCTTGTTTTGTTTTGTTTGTTGGTTGGTTGTTTGATTTTCCCTTCAAAGTTCGAAAACAGACTTGGAGAAACACTACTGAGTATCTCAGCTCCCTTCTCTCAGTCTGAGGGACTGAGTCAAGGCCAAGTCTCACGGAGAGTAGCACAGATCTGTCCTGCTTCAAGTGGGTCATCACTAAATCCCTGAGTTGAACTGACCTTTTCCTCAACACTGTCACGAGTAGCGTTAACTACTGTAGCACACTCCACATGATGCATGGGCGGTATAGCTTTTAGGGATTGGGCCCCATTCACAGAGACACTGTCAACTTGCTATGAAAGCATTGTTTAGGGTTTTTTTTTTTTTTTTTTTTTTTAATCTACCTGCAAGGGACCAGCTTAAAATTAAAAAACAAAACAAAAAATCAGTAAATTAAAAGGTTTGAATCTAAAGCAGAGAAAACTGCTTTTAGAAACTAAAAACTATAACTTAACTTTATGTAGCCTGGAAAGAAAGCAGATGGCATTTCCTGGAGTCATGTGATGCATGGCTTGCCACAGCTTCGTCATGTTCCTATACAAGTCGTGTGCTTTCAGTTGCATTTCCCACCTTCAAGTGTGCGTTCTGTATTGAGTATATCCTCATTATGCTTTACAGGAAGCTTTTGGTTTTTAAGCTTTGGCTACAATTATATTTTACAGTTTCAGATGATTCCCATCATGACGTTCAGAGAGAGAGCTAGAGACGTTAAAATGGGCCCTTCTTAAAAGCTGTGTTTTGTAGTGAATTGAACTGAATTGAACATGGTGCACCAAGCTGTGATCTGTCATGAGAAACACTGATTGGGTCATTTTCTGGATGGCCTCTGTATAAGGTCATCATAGTGGAGACTAGTTTCCAGCAGCATTTTCAGGTTTCAGTTAGAAGTGTTCCCACCCTTAGTTGACGATTGGCTGGTAAAAACCGTTTCTTGTTACAATGAAGACAGGGGGGTTTTGAGTTCAGAGGATACAGCAATGTCAGTAGTGTGAGGTGATGTTTATAGACTAGGTAGCTCAGGTGCCTGGTGCACACTGAGCACTCCATGAATGTTAACTGCTAGTGTTTACTCCTAACCCGGGAGCACACAGTAGTCCTCTCGAGGTTTTTAAAGGGAAACTGATACATTAGTCCCGCTCTCTATTGGAATTCTCAGTGCGGTGAGAGAGTAGCCAGTGTGTTTCCCAAGAACTTCTCCGAGTTTCAAACACTCAGCACTGTCTGAACAGAGCACTATTTGTGCCCTTTTCGGTAGAGAAGAAGGAACTAGAGAGGATGCTGTCACTAGTCCGTTATCTTGAGCAGTCAGTGGCAGAGCTGAGGCTGGAATTCAGGAGTCCTGACATTGTGGCGTTTCTCCACCACACCTGCGGCAGCCTCGTGAGATGCCAAGGCCATAGACAATCAGTATACATGGTGCTGCACACTTCTAAAGCACAGGCTGTAGTGGGCCCTGGCTAGCAAGGGCTTGGATGTCAGTAACAGTGCAGCCAAAGAAGCCTTTCCTGGAACTCGGTTATGAAGCAAGCATAGCGCTAGCCTTCTAGACTTGAGCCACGCAGAAACCTGCACTTGGTAGTTTAAAATACCAATTTGAGTTGCTTCAAAAAAAAGAAGAAGAAAACCAGTCCCTACATTCCTTTTTTGTTCAAAAAGAAATTTGTTGTGTCATTTTAATGACTGTGGGATAGTGGGAAAGAACCTGGAGAAATAAATGCAATCCAATTACAAAGCTGGATTATGACTACTGTAGAGAATCCCCTCTGTGGTTTGCTACAGAGTTACATATGAAACTGATAAATGAATCTGTAGAGATACTGCACATGTTTGCCAATAGTGCAGAGCTGAGGAACTTGGGAAAACTGGGGACCGGCTTTGTGGTTTCCTTCTCTTTAAGAGGTAGTAAAGTGGTGGCATGTAATCCTCGCAGAGAAGAAGCTGAGCCAAGAGCATCTCACGTTCCTGACGAACCTGGGCTACAGAACGAGACTCGAAGGAGGGTGGGTTAGTCCCTTTGGAGCCCAACAGCTTGTCCGGGCCCTTGATTGGAAAGTGAAGGCCCTCTTTCTTCTGATCAGTCATCTAGTACATGCTCAACTAGTGTCCTTGCTGTGGTCAGAGCAGACTCATTTCCTGTTCGTGTTGACAGTATCTTTTTAAAAATAATGCCCTGGGGGCTTGTGGGTAGAGAACTGATGTACTTGGAGAATTTCTAGAATTTCTCTACCAGTTATAAATGACATTGACATTTATCATCTCTCTTTTTTTTTTTTTTTAAATAAGCTGGGCTTAACTCACCTATTAGATAATCATATACTCAAGTAAATCATGTGGAGGCAGGCAGCTTACATGCAGCTGCACTCTATATTCTGACCTCCCTGTATTTTTTTAGTAAATCATGTGGAGGTGACTACATCCAGCTGCACTCTATGCTGACCTTCCCATGTTTGTCTGTCTTTGCTAGTGAGATCATTGTCATCATAGGCTGTGTCTGCAGGGGAGTCGATACTGGGTTGACAGAGTCATCTTTATTTCTGTTCTTAATGATCTGTTTCGTCATCTTGCATGCATTAACTTGCTTCTCCTGGATCTGGGACCCATCTTTATGCCCTCAGCATCTGCCATGGCCAGTACTTTTTATATTTCCTATCAGCTGCCTTAGCTTCGTCAAGTTGGTAGCCCAGTTCTTTGAAAAAATGCCTGTTTAGGTTTTGTGAGGCATGCAGGAGCCTAGAGCAAGGCAGTTACTTCCCAGGGAACCTGTGCACAGACTGGTGGAGGCAGCCCCAAGGTTCCCGTGGCTTCCATGCTGCGAGCATTGCCTTCCGAGTAGAGAAGCAAGGCCTTGGGATGCTTCTAAAACTGGGCCCACTCCTGCTGAGTTCCAGTTTTCCAGCTTAGGGGTCAGAAGTGCTTGCGTTCCTGTCACCTGCACTAGTCAGCACAGCACAGCGGCCCAACTTCACTGCTGTTGCCTGTGGTCCCACTACCGAGGCAGCTGGCTCAGTTCACCCTGCTCAAAAGCATTGGCAGCTGATTCTTGGCTCCAGCTTGTCTTTGTAAGGCTGCTGCTTTCCATGCCGTGTGTGTGTCCCATCTTGACTGTGTGTGCAATGATAACTCTTTCCTTTTGGACTAGCTCCCCACGTGACCCAGGAGGCCCCTGTGCTGTTCCCTGGATAAGGTCTGGGGCAGGTCATCTTGATTAGAAGCTGGCAGTGGCAGAGGCCATGCTCAGAGGTTTGTGCCTTCACAGATGGGTTCCTGAGTACTGTCGGGAGAAGTACTTGCCTGCTGGGCTGGTGTGTGTAACTGTTGAACTAGATCTGCTTGAAACAGCCTTCACCAGGCCTCCAAGTCCTTGTCAGTTCAGAAGACCCTTCCTTCCTGGGCAAAATGCCAGCTGGTAAATTGCTGCTTCACCTTTCTCAGCCCTTGTGATGAGCTGAGGGAAGGAGACCCCTTCCAGGCCCATCCTCCCTCCACACACACTTCCTTTGCTCTGTGTACACCTGCAGATCAGACTATTCACCCCTCCTGGATAATAATAATCTCGATTTCCCTGGTGCTGATAACCCTGGACACAGTAGCAGAACCCGTCAGCCAGAGAGGATGGATGGCACACTGGGTCTGCACACCTGCCACCATCTAAGGGAAAGGAAGTATGTCCACTTCTCCTCAGACGATAGCATCTTTAGGGAAGAATGGAGCTGTTCTGTGGGTCCTGAGTTACTCAGCTCTTCCTAGAGTACAGACCCTAATCCTTTATAAAAGACATGGGGGAGGCATTGTCAAATGCTAACAAGTTAGTAAAGGAATTAGAGAGTTTTGTGGGTGCAACTTGCTTGGGCTTGTTTCTGAGGCTCTGAATAGGAGTTGAACATCTTGTTTTTAGGGACCATACAATTTAGTGGCGAGTAGGGCTTAATAAAAACTTCACATACATAGGTTCTTATTTTCAGCAGTTAGAAGTTTATTGTTGAATCAGAGACTACTGCAGAAGGCCGAGATGCTTCAGGGTCATTAGTTCCCCACATTATGCCTGGTATTCTTAAGACCCATGCTGTCTGTGTGTTGTGAATGGTAAGAGTGCTACTGGTCAGGGCTAGAGGAACCAGCATTCTTCCGTCTCCACGGCTAGCTTCCAATAATACCACCTCAACTCCATCATGAGAAGCGTTTGCTGAGACCTTGAGAAATGACCTTCAGGAAAATGAGTCACCAGAAACTAACGAGAAGGGGAGGTACTGGCCCCACGGCTCCTGATTCCCTCTCTGAGGCAGCGGCAGTAATGCAGTGAGCGAGCTGCCCTGCACAGCTCCAGACACTGCACGCACCAAGCCGGCCCTCTAGACCGCACTTTGTTTCCTTGCAGTCGGATTCCGTAATGACTATCAGTGGAGAAACCCCCTTTTGTGCTTGCGTGGTAAAAGTAAATTTGAACATTTTATGGTGGTTGATAGACTTTGTCCTAAACTTGCTAATTCAGATTCTTTCAGACCCTGATGTTTATACCAAAGGTTACACTGCAGGCGTAGGCGATGCACAGGGAGGAAGTCCACGGTGGCCCTGTGTGCACAAGGGGACACAGTGCCCAGTGAGACCACGTGGGATCGGTCATGGGGCACACTACCGCTGGGGTCAAGTATTTGTTCCTAATGGTCACTGTAATAGATTTTCCGGTCTTTCTAATTTAATTCTCTCACTCTGTTGTCTGACTGTGAACTGCTAACAGTGTTAAACTTGATGTAAATAAATGATGCCCTTGGCGGGGACTGCTTCTTGTCGTATCTCACATGGTTTGCAAGTTGTGTTTTGTTTTAAATAAAGGTTGAAATATTTTATCGGCAAAGTGGGCTTGAGTTGGAGTATTTCTCCTGGGATTTTAATTGACAGGGAAGCTAAGCAGATCTTTATAGGCATATAGGAGATGATGTAAGGTTCAGCAGATGATTAGTAAGCATCCCCCTGATGACATTCTTCCTGGAGTGCACTTTGATAATGAACCCTCATCCTGTGATGAGTGTTGCACACACGATACCTTCCTGGAGACGGGGCTGGCAGACATCAGGTAGGTAATGTGTGGGTATGTGTCTAATGTGAATGGACTACACAGACACTTGATTCTCTGAAAATCCATTCTAAACACAACTGCAAATAAGTTCTTAAACTGTTTTGAGACGGGTATTAACGGAATAAGTTGGAATCCTCAAAGAGAACATTCTTCTTATTCAGAATTAGTTACCTTTTGTTTTTCATGCTTTCAAGACAAGCATGTATCCTTCTCAAGGTGACCTCAAACTTGCTGACATTGAACTTGGATCTCCCTGCTGGGGTTGCTGTTGTATACTACACTGTTTATATGGGTGCTGGTGATTGAACCCAGGGCTTCATATGTGATAAGCAAATACTCTTAACAACTGGCCCTCATTCCCAGATCCCAGCACCTTTTTGACACATTTGTACACATTCATTGAGAATAGTGTTGTCAGTGGCTGTCATGACAAAGAAGCCAGGTAGGAGAACTCGGTCATGGTGTTTTCGTGCACAGTGGGTGACTGGTCAACAGAATATCTCAAAGGAGCTACAGGGAAGATTCGGAATGTTCTCACCACAGTGAGATCTGGTCACAGATGCTCTAAATGCCGGGATTGGGTGATTGCAGTGTGCACATGTATAGAAACGTGTTTTCACTACTGTCCCCCCTGTCCTCCAGGCCAACCCCAGACATTGGTAGCCACTCCCCTACCTCCCCACAAGATGAGCTCCCTGACACCGCACACTAGTGCGGTCCTGAGTGTGGAGCCCGAGTTATTTCAAGTTTTCCACATTCATCCATGTTGCCATGAAAGACGGACCGTCATTGTTTTGCTCCACCACGACCCCCCCCCGTCTGTACATTTCCAGGACCCCAGCGTCTGCTGGTGGAATCCCAGGCTGGTTCCGTCTCCTGCCTGTTGTACACAGCGCTGCACTGAACTCGAGCTCAGATGTCTGTCTGACATGATTCCACTTCTCTTCACTATCTGTAGTGGGGTTTGTGTGTGTTGTTCATCGTCCCCAAAATTCTGTGTACACTGGAATGCTAGACATTATAGTATATTAAAGCAGTCCTGGTGAAAGTATAGTGTTAAATTTTTAATGTATATAAATTATATAAATTATTTATGGGGGTATTGTGATGTTTTAAATCATATACACTGTATAATGTTGAAATTATGTTAAACATAACCACTTCCTCAAACATTCATTCCTAGTTCTTTTTTATTTTTACAACAGTCTCACTACATTGTCCTGACTGGCCTCATCCTTGCTCTGTAGACCAGGCTGGCCTTGAACCCTGATCATCCTCCCTGAATGCTGGAATTACAGGTATGTGCCACCATGCCTGGCCCCAAACTCTTCAAGCCAGTTGGAATTATATATAGTTAATTAAATAATTAAATAAGGTGTGTGCATGTGGCTGTTGGACATAAGTGCTGGGAACCAAATTCAAGTCCTCAAAGAGCAGCAAACACTCTTAACTTAGCCATGTCTGATGCAAGACAGAAATTCTAACTCTTGCAGTACCCACTGATGGGCCTCTCCCTGCTCCATCCCTCCTTCACCTTCTGCTATCCTAAGGGATTCCCTGTTTTCTTACGGTAATTTTACAGTTTCAGATCTTACATTTAGATATTTAACTCAAGTTTAGTTGGTTTAGCTGAGATTTTTTGATGCTGTTTGTTTTTCCTTTTTGTAGTGCTAGGGATCACACATGCTAGGAAAAGACCACTGAGATACATCTCCAGCCCTTGGTTTCGTAAAACCTCTGCCTTCCAAGTGCTGGGTTTACAGATGTGCACCCTCGTGCCGAGCTATAGTTAATGCTTTGCATAACCACTGTACCGTTCCCATAGCTGCTGTGTTGATTCACATTCTCCCCAGCAGTGTCTTGTGAGTCCTCCCTTTGCTGCAGCCTCCTGAGGAGGCTTAGTATTCATAATATTGTCTTACTATTCGATTAGGATAAGGTGCTTCCTCTGATTGGAGGGAAGAGAGAAACTCATACAACTTAGATTCACAAGCGCCTTCCTCTAGGCTACCTGAGCACTCACCTGTTACTGCAAACAGGCGGGGCTTTGGTGAAGTTGCTTACAGGCTGGGCAGAGAACTCGAGGGATGTAGCTTTCTGAGGCATCAATCAGCCTTGCTAGAATAGGCTTTTCAGAGATGTAGATACCTGGAAGTCGCCCAAGTTTCTGCACATCACCCCTAAACTCACTGATTCACCAGGGTAGACATGGTGTAATCACCCCAATGCCCCGGCCTTGGTGCCCTGTCTGAGGTGACTAGAAATTTGTTCATGTCTTTTTTTAATCCAGAAAAGCTGCACCGTGCTCACAGCTTAACATTTCTCTTTCTTAGGAGGAACACTTTACTGTTGCTTTTCTCTCTCTTCTAAGACTTCTCTTTTAAAAAAACTTATGTGTATGCGTGTTGTCTGCATGTCTGCATCACATGCATGCCTGGTGCCCACAAGTCCAGAAGAGGGTGCTGGATCCCCCACGAGTGGAGTTACAGGTGATAGTGAGCCATCATGTAGGTGCTGCGAACTGAACAAGAGCTCTTGGTCACTGAGCCATCTCTCCAGCCCTCTTGTCCTTTGAAGAGCATCTGTTCTGATTTTTCTTTAAAGTTTTTTATTTTTTTTTTAATTTTTTTATTTATTTATTTATTTTTGCTTTGTTATTTTCAAAACAGGGTTTCTCTGTGTAGCCTTGGATGTCCTGGAACTCACTCTGTAGACCAGGCTGGCCTCGAACCCACAGAGAACCGCCTGTCCCTGCCTCCCAAGTGCTGGAATTAAAGGCATGTGCACCACTACCGCCGCCGCCGCCGCCACCCAGCTTCTTTAAAGTTTTAATGGGATTATTTATTGAGCTGTTTGAGCTCCTTCTGTATTCTGGATAATAACTCAGTATCTGTGGGTTGACTCTTCCTGATTGTTTATTGACCACGTAGCTTTTGAGTTTGATGAAATCCTTTTGTCATTTATTGCTATATTATTGCTTTGCTACTGGGGTCTTTTCCGGAAAACCGCTGCCCGTATCAAGGTCTTAAAACATTTCATTTGTTTCCTAGTTTCAGGTTTTACATGTAAATCTTTAATCTATTTTGAGTTGATTTTGTATATGGTGAGAGATCAGATCTACATGCACGCAACTACATTACCCAAAACCATTTATGAAAGAGGCTCCCCTTCCTCTGTTGCCTTTGTTGGCACTGTTGTAAAACGTCTGCTGGCTTGAAATGCATTCTTTTCTCTCTCGGCATTCTGTTCCAGTGGTAGGTGTCTCTACCAGTACCAAGCTGCTTTGGTTCTACAGCTTTGTAACAACTTTCAGGTCAGGCAATACAATCCAGCTCTGTTCTCTTTAAGATTTCTTTGGCTACTTAAGGGTTTTATAGTTTCATAGGAATTTTGGGATTAATTTTCTATTCGTATGAAATATGTCATCTTAGGGTTTCTATTGCTGTGAAGACACCATGACCATGGCAACTCTTACAAAGGAAACACTTAATTGAGGTAGCTCACAGTTTCAGAGGTTCAGTCCTTTATCATGATGGGGAGCGTAATAGTGTGCAGGCAGATGTGGTGCTGGAACTCACGCTGTAGACCAGGATGGCCTAGAACTCACAGAGATCTGCCTGCCTCTGCTGGGATTTTAAAGGCGTGTGCCACATTGGTTTTATACTTGATCTGTTGAGGTTTTGTTATTTTTTTTAATCATTAAGAGGTCAAGTGGCTTTTCTGCATCTATTGAAATGATCATATGGTTTTTACCTTTCATTCTGCTAATGTGATAGATCATATTTGATGATTTACAAATGTTGAACCATCCTTGAATTCCTGGAATGAATTACTTTTGATTATAGTGAGTGACCTTTTTGTTGATGTTATATTGGGTTGTCTGTTTTAAAGATTTTTGCATCTGTGTTCAGTGGGAATGTTGGCCTATAGATTTTTGGGTTTGGGGTGGGGTTTTATTGTTTTATTGTATATCCTTGTCTGGTTTTACTACCAAGGTAATACCTCCTGGAATGAATTTGGAAATATTCCTTCTTCGATTTTGGAGGTAGTTTCAGTAGAATTGGTATCAGTGTTTGTTGTTTGTCTGGTAAAACCAGCCTTAAACTCCTAAACCCCTTTGCTCAGTCTCCTTGGTGCTGGGATTCCTAATGTGTTTCACCACACCCAGATTTTAACTATTGTTTGTTTGTTTTGAGAATGGGTTTCTCAACATAGCTCTGGCTGTCCTGGAACTAATGTAGACCAGGCTGGCCTTGAACTCACAGAGATCCAACTGCCTCTAGATTAAAAGGCATAAGTCACCGTGCCCTTTTTTGTAAATTTCAGCATGAAGCCATCAGGTAGGTCCTGGACCTCTCTTTGATGTGGGACTTTCAAAAAAAAAAAAAATAATAATAACTGGTCATATAATCATTTACTTGTTAAGTTTGTTCAGGTTGTCTATTTCCTAGATTTAATCTTGGTAGGTTGTCTACATACAGAAATTTGTCTATTCTACATAATCTAGTTTGTTGGTGTATAATCATAATAGGTTTTTTGAATCCTTTGTGTTTCTATGTTACCAGTAGTAATATCTTTTCTATGGATTATTTGAGTCTCCGTTCTCACCTACCCCTTCTCATTTTCTTAGCTGATAAAGGCCATGCTTATCATACAATAAATAAAGGAGGAACCATCAGCCCTTTCATTGATCAATGTCTTGATCAGTGCCTTGGGCTTGCCTGGCATGCATGAAGCTCTGGGTCTGAGCCCAGCACCAGTCAGTCCAGGTGCTGACCCACGCCTGTGATCACAACACTTGGAAAACAATCAAGGTCATCTGGGGATCACTACTGAGTCCAAGGCCAGTTTTGGCTATGTGACACTGTCTCAGAAAGTCAAGACGAGGTCTTGTTATGTAGCCCCAGCCAGTTTCAAACTCACCAGACAGCCCAGGTTTTCTTAAGCTTGGCAGCCTCCTGTTTTCTAGTTCTTTAGGGCGCAGTGCTGACCCATGATGTGCATGTTGGCATAATTTCTCAGGTTTTGTCTCAAGAAGTTAAGGTTTTTCCATCTCTCCACTGACCTGTTGTTCTGGAGTACTTCTGGAGGTTTCTGAAGCCCCTCCTCTGCATTTTTACTTTTATGCCTTTGTGATCACAAGGTATTTCTAGGATTCTAGTTCTGTTAGATCAGGTGAGACCTGTTCAGCACTCTAACGTGGCCGGCCTGTCCTGTGTGGTAGAAGGCTGTGTCTGGCTCTTGGATGGGTTGGCATTGCCATGGTTTCTTGTTGCAGTTCACTTGGTTCTCACGACGTAGCCCAAGCCGACTTCCTGACTAGGGGATGGCAGGCATCGCGACCCCTGGGGCTTGAACAGGAACTCTTAAGTCTTACTGGGCAGTTCATGCTCACTAACCACCTCGTAGTCTTGCTTTATAAGAATTGGAATGGTTAGATCTCCACCCATGGTTTGTGGCCAGAGTTCCTAAACCCTCGAACTGTGTGAGCTGCTGCTTTTGGTAGTGGAGGTCCCGCTCTCCAACTAGGCTCCTTTCCTTCTGAGTACTAAGTACCCAGTACGGCCGGACCAGTCAGTACTCCCGAACCTAAGGCAGCTGAGTACCCATGGGGGTACAGAAATGGTCCATTTACGAGATAAAGGTGAGAGGGTTGAGGAGGCTTCAGTAAGAGGGGAAACGATGACAAAGCACAAAGACGTGCTGTGTGTTTCAAAAGTGGGAAGAAGGGACCAGATGAGAAAAGGACAGAACACGCGTGTAATAAAGACAGGTCGTGCACGGTCTGCCTCACCACATGAGCTCAGGAACCACAGCTTTCCTGTCAGAGCTGTGGTGAAGAACTTAGGTCTGTGAGCGCTGAGTCTTGGGAGCTTCTAGGAAAGAAGGTGGAGTCGCCCTGAGTTCAGCTGACATGGCCCTAAAGTGAACTGAAATCTACTCACAGGTCAGCGTATGCTGGGCCAGCACCTGTCTCCACCGGTGCCCATTGGTGCTGAGTACAGTCACCAGGTCTCAGGAAGAAAGGAGGCCAAGGACGTTAGAAAAATACAAAATTTAATCTATACATACACCATTACATAGCAAGGCCCCTAATCTAAAGAAGAACAAGTGTTCAGTCTATAGAACACACGTGTGGTTTTTGTTTGTCACGCCTGGCTGGCCTCAAACTCACGAGGCAGCTCAGGTCTCCTGAGCGCTCTCCTGTATTAGCCTACTCAATGCTGGGATCTCACGTATGTGCCACACCCGTCACTGGCATGGTCTGAAAGCATGTGGTTTTCCCTTCAGCCAAGGCCCTTTGCTGATCTGCTCACACACACAAGCTGACCCCTCGTCCTCTAGAAAGCCAGCCCACGGCTACAGACCTGGATGGAGCACACCTCTGCGGAGCCATCCATCTCCATCCTTCCATGTTCTGTAGTCCTAGAATCCTGCAGCCTCAGACTCCTGCTCCAAGTCCAGCTGCCTTCTGGGAAGAGCTATGGTGCCAAGAGGCTGGAGGGAGAGTTCCGGGGACCCTTTGGCACTTGGGACTTCCCGATGGCTTTCTGACTTCCGGGCCCAAATTACAGAATGTCTAGAATGCAAGTCTGTAAGGCACCAAGTGATTTTAAGAACTAGCTGCTTCTGTTAAGGTCTGCCTTCTGCACTAGCTGAAGCAGTGGTGCTGGACCAGGGTGCCTGGCACATTCAGGCTCTCTCTGGTGAGGGAAGACTCAAGGCAGGAAGAGGTTGATTCTCTGGGAAATGGATTTGCAGCCCTGGGAAGAGAAAAGCCGCTCCTCCTCAGGGACATACGTCATCATCTTGGCGATTTCATCCAGGGCCGCCTCTGTGTAGGGGAGGTCCTGGCTCAGGAAGGCGTCCCGGACACACAGCCGCACATGGCGGTACTCCAGTGGCAGGAAGGGGACGAAGAGGTCAATAAGGTTTTCCTTCACAAGACGGCTGGAGCCGAAGCTGCTGTCTGAAATCAAGACCCAGAGTTACATGACCGAGCCCTGCTAGAGACGACATACGGTGTCCCCCACAGCGAGACCTCGGCGAGATCCGGTCTCCCATGAAGCTCTAGGAGTGCTGTCTGCAGCAGGTGCCGGAGCTTTGCCGAGAGCTGCGGCTGCTCTAGGCACGGAAGCATGTGGGCATGGCAGGCAGGCACGGCCACCAGGGCTGGGGCTTTGTTTGGTGACCGGGGGGCTCAACCACTGTTCTCTCGGAGATCTGCTGGTCGGAGACCACGACTGTGTGTCTGTGGCTGGGCAATGACACCCCTCCCCCCTTTGTTTTTTGAGACAGGGTTTCTTTGTGTAGTTTTGGTGCCTGTCCTGGATCTTGCTCTGTAGACCAGGCTGGCCTTGAACTCACAAAGATCCACCTGCCTCCTGAGTGCTGGATTAAAGGCGTGCGCCACCGCCACCTGGTGCCAATGACCCTTTTAAGGGCGTTTTCATAAAAGGACTTTAGGCCTACTTTTCCTTGTGCCACCAGAAGTTGACAGTTTGAGAATGTCCTGTGTTCTCCACTGTTCAGACACCCTCACTGTCTCAAATTTGGTACATACACTAATCACCTCTAGCTGTGGCTCTTGGCAAGGACCATGTACCTAGACGATCACTTACCTGCAGACTCCAGGATCTCAGCTTGAAGGGGAGTCTCCAAGTGGTGCATCGTAATTTCCTCCCTGGACCATCCAGCCTTCAGCAAACCCAGGACCACTTCATTGATGACACTGCCCCCAAGGTTACTAAAAGAAACAGTTACTAAAAGTTAACAGCTGATCCCTGCACTCACTCCCACGCATGTCATCTGACCTCCGACACCCTTCCTGAGCGCCAGGGGCTGCCCCGTGGAGCAGAGCAGACAGACACTGCCCTGCTTGGCCCCTGTCCCACCTTCTCTGTGCTTTTTGGTAAACACGTGTGAATCTGCTCAGTTCAGGAAACACTTATGTTCTGTGTGACCTCCAATGTGACGAGAACGAGATTCTGGGACCGTGTGGCACAACGGAAGACACAGGCTCCTATCAGGACCCACGGCAGTGACTCAGACTCCTGGGGGAGGGGGCGGGCGTCTGGGCACAAGACTGCAGCAGAGGACAGTGGGCTGCAGGGTCAGAAGGGAAGCATGAAAGCTAAGCCGTGGCTAGCGGGAAGGACTGGGGGCCGGAAGGCAGGGTAGTGACCTGTTCACGTATGTCCTCAGAAACTCCTTCCCGGTAGAGGAGAAGGACTGGAGAATTCGTTCAGAAAGCACCGTTAGGAGTCAGGTGTCTGCCTGGGCTGCTTGCTCTGCAGCTTCCAAACAGTGAGAAGCAAAAAAAGAAAAAAGAAAGCTTGTTTTGTAGCGCCTGTGTTCTGAGGGCTGAGGACCACAGGGCCGAGCACGGGGATGGCTGTACACTGTTACGACAGGAGTGAGTGACAGGTAAGGCTGGAAGGGCTGGGGACCTGCCGCCAGGACGGTTCCTCCCTCTCCCAAGTTGCAGCCCAGCAAGCTCCTGTACCAGCTGAGCCCTCGCTTCCTAAGGCCACAGAATGAGGAATGGAGTGAAGAGCAGGGGAGGCAGGCGCAATTAAACTGGGGGTCCAGCATCTCCATTCCCCCTCAAGGCTCCGAGTGCCCCTGGTACCTCAGGAAAGGTCTTATCTTTCTGCTCAGTTTGCATTTGAGTGTATCCTGCCATCCCTAACCTGTCTCCCTAGCTAGGTGGAGAGAGACATCCTTCCCCAGCAAACAGGTGAGGACCAGTGTGTCCCTCACAGCCACAGGACTTACCAGGGGCCTTGAGTCCCCATTTGGAAGAGTCCAGTAGAACAAGGGCATTCCCCGGGCCCTGCCAGACATCCAGGCCTACAGAAAGTGCTTATATCGCTCATCTGATTTCTGCATCTGCTGCACAGCCTGTCGGGAGGCTTTCTGGTCCACAACTGCATCAGCAGAGACAAGACGACCCCACCACCAGAGATCGTCCCATCTAGATTTGCCACAGTACCCCTATTTACGCCGTCTCCGGGGGACAGCAAACCGGTGAGGTCGGTGACTCACTCAGCCCCAAAGACACCTGCCTGCTTCTCTGTAACCCCAGGGCTCCACTGCACAATTCCTGCATGTTTATCTGCAGCTTCCTTCTGAACTGCCTGCAGCCAGTGTCTTCAGCCCAGCAGGGCTGCATGCCACAGTAGACATACTACCTCTCCAATAAGGAGACCGTGAAGAATGAGACCCTGGATGATAAGAGGGGAGGGATTATGTCCACGCTCCTGCTGGTCTGCGTCTGAGTCAGCGGCTGATTCTGCTGACTCATCACCCTGCTCTGCCCCGGGCCTGGCCGCCTCCCAGTTTACTGTCTGTCCGCTTTTATAGATAAAGCTTACTCGTTTGCAAAATCTTGGCACTATAAAATTGGTTTTTGTCCATATTGGGTAAGCAAGGCCTCCTGGGCTTCACCAACTGTCTGCCTTCAGGTACCTCAAGAGAGCTGGCAAAGAAGCCACCAGTACCTCAACAACAGGTCTCGGGCTCTTTTTCAGGATTAAACTGATTGTGTCAGGGCTGGGTACTTTTCAGTGGGCAAAGTATTTGCTGCCTGAGCATGAAGACCTAAGTTCAGGTCCCCGAGACCCTGGGAAAAGCTGGGCATGGCCGTGTGTGTGCACTTACAACT